AAACAAAAGAAAAAGCCCACGAAGAGAAAAAAAACCTGATGAATTTTATTTCATCAAAATTAACAATTTCTGTTCAAAGAAGTCTAACATTTTCCAAGTTACAAAAGAATATTTACAATGTCTGAATCTAATAGCTAGACTCTGTTAGAAACTCCAGTAAATCAAAAGGAAATCCATAGGAAAGATAGGAACTTCAACATAAAATATGAGCTATTAAGCAAGCAATTTACAGAACAGGTGTTTAACACACATATGAAAGGATGCTAAAAATGCATTAGCATACAAAGAAATATAAGCTAAACCAAAATACTGAGTCACACCTGTTAGACTGGCAAATACTAGAAGGCTGGAAAACATCAAATCTTAATGAGGATGCAGGCATATAGAAATCCTTATATGTGGTCAAAGTATGGGACTGGTACAGCCATCCTGGAGAACCATTTAGAAGAATTGGTGTCCAATGTGAATCTAAATATATATGTACACTTTAGGATACAATCATTCTGCTCTTGGGTGTATGTTCCAAAACAAATTCTCTCTTGGCACAGTGACATTCACCTATAATCCCAGCTATTTATGAGGGTGAGGCAGGAGTATTCCAAGTTCAAGGCCACCTTTGTCAACACAGTGAGTCCTTGTCTCAAAACAAAATGAAAAAAAAAAGGAGAGGGGATTTGGGATGCAGCTTAGTGGTAGAGTGTTTGTCCAGTATGTATTAGGTCCTAGGCTCAAGTAAGCAAACTGACAAAAGAAAAAAAAACCCTTATTGCAAAACAAATCCTCATACAGGTCAATAAGGGGACATGTACAAGGATGTTCATTGAAGTATTATTTGTACCATTGGGGAGCTAGAGACCATCATGCTGTCCATTGAATATTTATGGGAAATGCAGCAAAAGTGCACTAGTTACCATGAGGAGGTAGAAGCAAGGGATTAGAAGTATACATAAAAACAGAAGAATGGATGAAAAAAGCAACAGAATGAGATATCATTACTTAAAATAAAATTACAAACACAAAGCATCATCAAGGAACAACTTGATATTATGTGCCTCCTGAGGTGATACAATATGAAATAAAGGATATTTTCTATGTACTCCTCTTGCTGAAAACATTTAATCTGAATCTAACCATATTGAAAGAAAGCATGATCCCAGAATGTGGGACATTATACATAACAATGAGCCTGCAAGATAATCTCAACTTGAGGCCAGCTTGAGCAACTCAATGAGACCCTCTTTCACAATGCAATAAAAAGGATTGGGGATGTAGTTTGTGGTAGAGCACTTGCATAGAGTGTGTAAGGCCCTGGGTTCAATTCCCATATTGAAGAAAAAGGAAAGGAAAAGTACAACTATCCTGGACTCCTCAAAAATATCAATGTCATTTGAAACACACAAAAAATATAGGGAGGAAAAAGCCAGGTGTGGTAGCACATGCCTGTAATCCCAGCAATTTATGAGGCTGAGGCAGGAGGATCACAAATTTGAGGTCAGCCTCAACAGCTTTAGCAAGATCCTCAGCAACTTGGTGAGACCTTGTCTCAAAATAAAAAATAAAAAGGGCTGAAGATGTAGCTCAATAGTAAAATGCCCATGAGTTCAATCCCCAGTATACTCCCTGAAATAGTGGGGAGGTACAATAAAAAACCCACAAAGATATAGGGGTCTGAGCTAAACTCTGAGCCCTTGGCCATATTTGATATTACTGAATAACTGCTAAATTTTCTTAAGTGTGATAGTGGTATTGTGATTATGTAGAATATTTGGCAAAATAGTATGGGCACATGGGTTTTCATTATGCTTTTCTTCTAACTGTCCTGAATTTTGAAAAATTAAAAATTTGAGGAAATATATGCATCTAAAATAATACATCTATTGCAAGGTGGCAAATGTAAAGATATGCATAAAATATCTTAGATTGTGTAGAGGAGGGAAATGAAAGTGGGAAGTAGAGATGAAAGTGATTTTAAGTAAAAACAGAAACCTTTCATTAAAATAATACATATTCATCAAATAAATGGAAAACACAGAAAAGCACAAGGAAGAAAATTAAATTCACTGATAATCTCATTTTCTCCATCAGTAGTTCTCAAAATGTGGTATCTAGACTAGCAATAATAACAGCTTCTTCATCATCATCATCATCATCATCATCATCACTATGCTTGGGAACTTGTTAGAAACGCAAATTCCTGGGTCCTAAACCAGACTTACTGAACCAAAACTCTGGGCGTGGGGCCCAGTAATCAGTATTTTAACAAGACCTTCCAGTGATTCTGATTCTAGCCAAAGTTAGAGAAATAGTGATCTAGATTCAAACTATTATTAACACTTTGTTGTAGATCCTTTGAGTCATTTGAAAAAATATTATTTGAGGCATTCAAATAAGTATAGAGAATAATGCAACACACACCCATGTACCTACTACTCAGCTCAGAAGATAAAATATTAGACAAAACAGTTGAAGTCTCCTGTGCATCTCTCTCTCTTTCTGTTCCTATTTTCTTCTCCAGAAGTAATCACCATTATGTTTTTGGTATTTCTATTTTAAAAATACCGTTTCAACAACTTGGGAGACTGAGGCACCAGAACTCCAAGTTTGAGGTCAGCCGGGGCAACTTAGTGAGACCATGCCTCAAAACAGAAAATAAGGTCTAGGGATGTAGTTCAGTGGTAGAGTACCCCTTGTTCAATCCCCTGTACTGCCCCCCCGCCCCCCCAAAATATGTGTCTACATAATCTATAAACAGCATAGTACATTATTTGAGATTTAAAACTCTATGTAAAGTAGTTTCATACTTTGTGTATTCTTCTGCAACTTGTATTTATCTTGGCATTATTTTTGAAATTTATCTGGGTTCATGCATGCAACTCTTACTCATTCTTTGTGTGTGTATGTATTTTTTTGAGACAGATTCTTTCTCTGTTGCCTATGCTGGCCTGGAACTGGTGATCCTCCTGCCTCAACCTGATTCATTCATTTTCAATGTTGTATAGTATTGTGTTGTATGGCTATAGTACAATTTCTTTATTCATTCTCCTATTGGTGACATTCAAATTTTTTTCTCCACTACAACAGTTCTGCAAAGATTACTCTTGCACATGCCTTCTTGAGCATATGTATAAGAATTTCTTCAGGATTTAATGTGTAGGGGAGATCTTCTACCTATCTCCAACAGGAGAACTGTTGGATCCCAGAGCCATCTTCAACTATTCACGGCAATTTATAATTGTTTTCTGAAGCAATAGTACCAATTTTTATTCCTATCAAAGATTTGATTACATGTGTTCTCTACTGCATTTTCTGTGTACTAAGGATTTTGTTTAAAAAGTCCTTCCCCAAACCAGGTACAGTAGTGCAGGCCTATAATCACAGCTACTCAGGAGGCTGAAGCAGGAGGACCTATAAATCTGAGGTCAGCTTAGGCAACTTGGTGAGAACTTGGGTCAAAATAAAAATAAAAAGGGTTGGTGGTATTGCTCAGTAGTAGAGTGCCCCTGGGTTCCATTTCTAGTACCACTCCCCTCAAAAAACCCTTCCCCAGTTATAGGCCACAAAGGTATGTTCCTGCATATTTTATATTAGCTTTATAGTTTTACCTTCTTATTTGCAGTCCACATTCTTGTGTAGAATAAGTAGAGATCTAGGTTTTTTTTTTTTTGGTGAGTTAAATTTCCCAATGCTATCTATTAAATTGTTCATTTTCCAATGATTAGAGATATAGGCTTTAAATTCACCCGTTTTGTCAAATTTGCTGAAACCAACCTTGTACCCATTTTGTGCTAGGTATGATTGAGAACTGGAAGACACATGGTCCCTAATCTCAGGGAGTTCACTCTACTGTGGAGATATAGTCACATAAACAACTACAGTACAATATTCAGTGAGGTGTTAACAGTTATATACAAAGTGCTCTGGGTTTTTACTCAACTGTGAAAGTTCATAGCAACTTTACAGAAGTGATAGGAGTTAGGTCTTTCAAAAAACTGAATTTGCAAATGCGGGAGAAATGTGAAGGTGGCCAGGGTTAGTTTGGTGTCCAAAGGAATTTTTATGCCTCTATGGGGAGAGGTTAGAAGTCTTTCATGGATATAGGGCTAGTGAGTGAGATTAGCATGTGCTAAGGGATAGGAGGGCTGAGGAAGTCATTTTCAGCAGATGTGCTTAAAGTGGAGGAACATACCCTCCGGGTAAAGCCCCACCTACCCTCTGCCCCCTCCAGAGGTCTAGATTAGAGGAAGAGGAGGGGCTGGAATTAGATTACTAAGGAAAAGCCATTTTCAGACTATTTACTGTTTTTAGGGGTATACCCACTCTCCAACCACGTCGGGTGCTCCTAGAAATGGTTTCTGAAAAACAAAACAAAACAAAAAAAAACCTTACTTGGTCCCACTTCAGAGACACAAATTCATTCCTTCCGCAAACGCTGCTCCGCAATTCAGGGAAGGAGGGAGGAGGGTCAGCATATGGGTGGGAGAAGCTTCCAAGTTATTCCTGGCTCCTTCTCGGGCAGAACCTGGCCACGGATGTGAGCTTCTGCAGAAAGTTCTGGGAGTGGCTGCCTCAGGGTTCATCTGGAGCCCTGTGAACTGGGAAGGTTGTTGGGAATTGCTAACCCAATTCATTTCAGGTGGGAAATTCTCGGCTAGACATGTGACCCAGGCGGCCATTTTCTCACACCCTGCCGGTCGCCATCTTCCAGGCAGACAAAGACAACCCCCTCCCCTGCCTACATCCGAGGCAGGCTGAGTTATTTCCTGATCACTAAGATTTGGGAACATGCTGATTTAATCCTAGAGAGAGTCCGGTATACAAGATTCTGTCTTACAAGAAGGTTACATGACCGTAGGAGGAAATCCGATGATTCTCTTTACCATTTCCCCGCCTCCTTCCCCACCCCCGCTATTTCTTAACCTACGAGGCAGTCAGGAGGCGGGGCCGGCGTGGGGGCGGGCAAGGCACCGGAAGGTGAGAGTAGATAATTTGAGACCCCGCCTCTGAAAAGGACGCGCAGCGGGCGGAGCCGAGCTCGGCGACGGAATCACGCCTCGCGAGGCTGAGATCCGGAAGTCGGAACCTAGCCGTACAAGCGCATGTCCTCCGTCCTGGTAGTTGTTCTACCCTCTCCTCTGTGATCCCCGCCGGAAGTGTAGGTAAGAGACTATTCTCCTCTTTTCTCTTGGTGAGCGCTCACCCAGCCGGCAGCGCCATAAGGATCAACTATTTGAGGTGAAACCAGAGATGCCTGCCAGCTTGGAATAGAGAGGTAAACGGCTGGCTCTCTTCCAGAGTAGAAAGGCCCGGAAGGAGGACAGGGATAGTTCCGCACGTGGACATGCGCCAAACTGAATTCTCGCGGGGTTGAGGCTTTGCTCCACCCCGTCTAGAAAGGTGTAGACCCCGGACGCACGGCGGAGAGGCACAGACCTCACTTGTGTGGAAAATCGTTGATGGCCCTCCGCCCCTCGGGATAGTGAGGCTCCGTTTCGCATTACTCCCTTCGGTGTTTGGTGGACATCAACACCGCCAAAGGTGTGGCGACATCGTCCCCACCATATAGGGACACAGTGGCCAATACAGGGCTGAGTGGCATAGACCTCTCCTGGTTTAAGACACAGATCCTAATTGAGGCACCTCATTCCCCAGGACAGGGTTTGATGTATCTCCCAACCATTATTTCTGAGCTGAGAAACATGTGAAGAGTTAGGGAATCTCTTTTCCTGATGTAGACCCAGTGACCCACGCAAGTCTCCACTTCTGCTGAGTAACAAAAGCCCCGCCCCCACTGCACTGCTGCAGAGCTGATAAGATCACCCCTTCCTGGAGTGGTTAGAGGCACAGGCCTCAGCAAAAGGAGAACCTTGCAAATTACTCCTCCTTCCTGTGCTAGAGGGAGTCCTAATTGTGGAGAATTAAACCCAAGCTCTGCACCATATAGTAGTGCTGATTTACTGTATTGTAAAGGCCCACCCCAAAGTGCCTCACAGCAAATATGAACAGATGTTAATATATGAGGAGGTCATCAGTGGAGCCCCTCGAGGAATCCCCAGCTAGGAAGACTCAGATTTTTATCCCCTCCTTGTGAAATAGACACAGAGACCTCCTTCCAAGGACTTATAATTAAATGTAGCCAAGGGAGAGACCTCACTAGAGCAGAGGTGCAGTTCCCCCACCCTGTAATTGTAAGAGGTAGTGAAATCACCAATCACCCTATAGTGCAGGGCACATAGGCTTCCTCCTCCTTACCCAAGGTACAGGAACTCAGATTCATTCTCCTCACCCAGGGTAAAATAACAAGACACCCCCTATCTGTCAATATATGAAGAGATAGAGCCACATAAAAGTTCCACCATCCATGGAAGGTTTCAGAACAGCCCCCTGCAGGCAAGGTGTATATCCTACTCATTCAAAGCTGCACATTTTCCCTCTATTAGTTTGGTGCTAATGTCATCTCATGGTGAAATCAGGCATATCAGTGCTGCCCCACAGCCCTTTCCAGGGTAGAAAGACCTAGAACCCCTCCCCTCTCTTCCTAATAATTTGGAGATACATTCAATTGTACTTCTCTCCCATGTAGCAGAAGTGCATTCAGCCACTGATGGTTTCATATTTCTCTGCACCCCAGAGTAGAGGGACAGATGACAGCTCCCCTGAATTGACAAGGTGTACACCCTAGTCACACATGCAGGCACAGATTTCCCTGCTCTAAAATTTTGCACTGACCTCATTCTCATGGACACATAGGTAAGAGGCCCCTTTTCCTCAGAGTAGACTCCTGGAATCTGTCCCCACCATTACTTCTCCCAGGGTAGATGAGGGACAGGGCTTCCTTCTTGGGAAAAGAAATATCACCCCAATTCATGAAAGAAAAAAAAAAACAAACATACATGCCTTCTCCTCTCCCCTCAGTGAGAAGGGGTTTACTCTAGTCCCTTATTTAGGGTATAATATTACAAAATGGAGGAATAAGGATCGAGAACCCTATTCAATCCATTGAGATACCAGCTCCACTCAGGAAAAGGGTCTCAGATATACCCCTCCCTTTGGATAATGTGACACTGTGCGTACTCAGCCATATTAGAACCTAGTTCTAGGATAGCCCCTTCTCCCAGCATCTATAGTTGTTAGGGCTTTTAATCATGTTCTCTGACATTTAATTTTACTTTTAGGGGGCTTGGGGCATTGTGGTTCCCAGGTCTGTATAAATTGCTTCTTCTCCCATTCTGATAGGAAAAAAGTGGACATATTTGGAATTACCCATTTTCAAGCTGGACTGATACATCATGATGAAGCACAGACACAGTGAGTTTTTTTTAATTAACCCCTCCCAATCTTATGCTTTTAGTGAATATTCATAGAATTTCATAGTGACTTTTAAAAATTGCTCAGTATTTTCCAGATCATTCAGAATGTGTGTAAAATGTGGTATAATGGCTGCCCTCCTGACTTCCTTATAAGAAATGCTTCCCTTATCCACCATTTCCTTTTTACAGGTGAGAAAACTGAGGTTCAGCAAGGTTAAGTGACTTGAATGGCAGTAAATACTATATGGCACTGCCTAATATGCCTAATATTTTTCTTTATGAGTTATACCTTTAAGTTGGTACCATAAGTTGTACCAGTGGTTAAGAGCATAGACTCTGGAGCTAGACTGGGTTTGAATCTCAGCTTTCTCACTTACTAATTCTGTGACTGTGGGCAAGTTACTTAACTATATTCTCCTTATCTATAAAATAGAAGTAATTAATTATGGCATCTACCTAATTGCAATTATTGTGAGGATTTTTTTTTTTTTTTTTTTTGAGACAGGATCTTGCCATGTTACCTAGCTCGCCTCAAACTTCTAGGGTCAAGTGATCCTCCTGCCTCATCCTCCCAAGTAGCTGGAAGCTTAGCATAGTGGCATATGCTTGTAATCCCAGTGACTCAGGAGGTGACTCAATGGTTAAGTGCCCTTTGGTTCAATCCCTAGTACCAAATATAAATAAATAAATAAGCAAATAGATAAATAAAATTTAGTCTTTTTGTTTCTCTTTGGAATTTGGCCTTTCAGAGGATGCATATACTATGTTACCCACAAATTGTTGTCTGGCTTCTCCTGACCTTTGGATTTTTCTTTTTATTTTTTTGGTACTGGGGATTGAACTCAGGGGCACTTAAACACTGAGCTATATCCCCAATCCTTTTTTGTATTTTTTATTTTGAGATAGGAGTCTTGCTAAATTGCTGAGATTGGCCTTGAATTTGTAGTCTTCCTGCCTCAGCCTCCCCAGCTGATGGGATTACAGATGTGTGCCACCACGCCTGGCTAGGGTTTTTCTTAACTCTAAAATAAGACATGTGGACAAATTGTTATTCTTTGTGCCTTAGGACTTTCTGCCTCCCCTCCCCTCACTCTTCAACTGAGTAACTATTGCATTTCAGATTTCAGCTTATGCATTACTTCCTCTGGGAATCCCTCTCTGTTAACTTCCTTCCTTGGTTTCCACTCTGTGCACCCAAAGAAACTGGGCCTATTGACCAGGGTTGTCTCCACCACTGTACTGTTGACTTCTCATCCTTGTCTGATTCATCATTGTGTCCCAAGGGCCTAGCATGATGAGGCATAGTTTGTATAACACACTGTATGCCAGGAAGTAGAGTGACTCAGTTTGTAGTGCTCATTCAGTTCCCTCTCCTACCATGATGTATGAAGCCTAGAAGGAGAAGACAAATATGTCACACAGACTCCTGCATAAAAGAGAAGAAAAGGACTTTTGAACAAGTGCACTTCTGGGCTTCGCTGCCTTTATCTTGCCATGGTCCACAAAGAAAATGACAACATTTGGATAACACACTTGGTGGACTGGACAAGAATTGTACAACCATTGTACAGTCTATTGATCCTATGCACTGGTGGTTCTCTATTCTGTGTGAATCATGGCCCTGCCTATGTAGAGCTTGGTGGAAAAAACAAATTTCAATATATTTTCTTTATAAGATAATAAAAATTTTATCAAAAATCAAACTGTTAATATCAAGAACAAATAATATTTATAAGTAGCACAAGAACAGTGAACAAAATTAATTATTCTTTATTTAGCAACATCTACTACCAGATAATTAAAATACTGATAATGATGAAAAAAGACAATAATTAGGTGGTTACAATAAAGTCATATCTTATAAAATATGTACATTTAGAAATATAGGCAGTTTAAAAAATGAGGAAATATTGTATGGAAAAATTATTTGGAACAAGAATGTTGTATGGAAAGACCATTAGATGGAAAGATTTTCAAGATTTGTTAAGTGGAAAAAAAAAAGCAACTTGTTGATAGAATAGAGTGTTAACTATTTTTTAAAAAAATTAACCACTGTTAAATTCTTTTTTTTTTAAAGTTTTTAAATTATCAATGGGTCTTTATTTTATTTATTTCTGTGTGGTGCTGAGAATTGAACCCACAGCCTCACACATGTGAGGCAAGCACTCTGTTGCTGAGCTATAATCCCAGCCCCACAGTGTTACCTTTTATGGGAGAAAATAGAAATAAGAATATATGTGTATATTTGCATAAAGAAACTGAATAATGCCCAGTAAGATGGTTTCTTGTGACAGTGAAGGGACTGTAATGGATAGGAGCAAATGTGGGAGAGAAGTCTTTTAAATACATTTTTATTTTTGTGTTGCTGGGGATTGAACCCAGGACTTCATATATGCTAAGCAAATGCTCTACCACTGAGACATACCCCTTATCTGAAAATATACTTTTGATTTTGGAGCTATGTGACTATTGTTAAAAATAAAGAATGATGGGCTGGGATATAGCATGGTGATAGAATGCTTGCCTAACATTCATGATTCCCTGGGTTTGATTTCCAGCTCCAGAGAGAAAGAAAGAAAGAAGAAAAATAAAGCTATACAACTACATTAAATGGTAAAAGTTAAATTGAGTATAAAAATTTTATAGTGAACACAAAACAGGACTTTCACTGGTAAATTGCAACTAAAATTACCAGACTAATTGGGATGATTACTGGGAAAGATGAGGGGGAGGTGCTGTGTTCTGAACTGGGCATACATAGTTAGGACCCAAATAATAATAATAATGATTAAATCTGGAAAGGTAATTGAGGAGTCCTATAAGGAATGTTCAAATACATTTTTCCCCTCTGGTACTTGGGATTGAACCAAGGGGTGCTCTGCCAATTAGCTACATCCCTGGCCATTTTTATTTTTTATTTTGAGATAGGGTCTTGCTAAGTTGTCATGTCAAGGCTGGCCTAAAACTTGTGATCCCCTGCTTCAGCAGCCTGAGTGACTGGGATTACATTCTTTTTCTGGAATTACATATCAAATTCAGGGTCTTATGTTTGGTAAGCAGGTGTGCTCCTGCTTAGCTACATCCCTAACTCAAATATAATTTTTTTGTAATATTTGAGATTGAACCCAGAGAGTCTATACCACTGAGCCACATCCCAGCCTTTTTTTTTTTCTTTTTAAATTTTGAGACAGGATCTCACTAAGTTGCCCAGTCTGGCCTTGAACTTAAAATCCTCCTGCCTCAGCCTCTGGAGTAGTTGGGATTACTGGCGTGTACCACCATACACCATGAAATAAAATCATTTTTATTTTATTTTTTCTCTCTACATTTATTATTTTTATTATAGGGGTACATAATGATGGGATTTGTTTTACCAATTTATACATTGACACAATGTAACAATGACTCAAACAAGCTCCCCTCCTCTCTCCTCTCCTTGCTCCCCTCCCTCCCCTCTTCACTCCCCTCCTCCTATCCCCCTGGTCCCTTTCCTCTACTGATATCCCTTAGATTTTCATGAGACCCTTGATCCCCTCCCAGTGCAATTTTTTTTACATCCATCCATCCGTCTGTCTGTCTGTCTGTCTATCTATCTATTTATTTATTTATTTTTATGTGGTGCTGAGGATCGAACCCAGGGCCTTGCACGTGCTAGCCAAGCGCTCTACTGCTGAGCCACAACCCCAGCCCCTCCCAATACAATTATAGGTACATGTTTGAGTGGTTATTTAAAGGGGAAGTATAAACACACACACACACACACACACACACACGCGCACACGGCATTGAACCTGGGATGCTTTTTGCACACTGAACTGCATTCCAGGTTTCCGATTTTGAGACAGGTTTTTAATATGTTGCTGAGGGTCTCACCAAGTTGCCAATACTGGCCACAAGCTTGAAATCTTCCTGCCTAAACCCTGCCCCCAGTCACCGAGATTACAGTTGTGCACCGCTGTGCCTGGCAAAAGGGGAGTGTTTCATTACGTTAAATGCTTATGACCATCAGTTTTATTGGTACAGGTGTATAATGTTGACAGGTTGTTCAACAAACACTGGCAAATATATCCCAGTGAGGTGATGGAAGGGCAAGGGAATTGAGGCTTTGTGTGAGAGCATGATTATACTGATAGAATGTGGAATGTTAGTTGGACAGAGGTGGGGGTGACTGAAGAATAAAGAGCTAAACAGATGGTTCATTTCTGTAGAAAGTTATATGAATTTGAAAATAGGAGAGAGGGATATCTGTGACTGCTTGTAGAAGTCTGAGCAATTATAGGTGATGCCTCTATAGGTATAACCAAATGGATGGGTGGGTGAGTGACTGAGATGGAGTGGAGGTACCTAGAGGTGAGGATGTCAAGGAAATGGGAAAACCCAGGTTATTGGAATAGTTAATCCTCATCTTCAAAGTTATCCAGGTTGATGGTGACACAAATTGGGTTGAAAGTAAAGCAGTGATCCAGGTACTTTAATAAATCAGGAAAAGTGACAATTAGGTGACAGATACTGCAGCAATGTGGGGTCCTCAAAGAGCAGGGTTTAATCCTACTTTTTTCTTTTCCTTTTTAACAAGAAGTAATAGTTACAGACTGACAATTGTAAGTCTGGAGGACAGGTCTTTTACCTACTGGCCACAAAATAACTGTGTTCCAGACAGAAGCACCACTTTTTGAGAGGCCTGCAAGTGAAGCATTGTTATTGGGAAAGTGAAGTCTCAAGGCAGGAGGTTGAGGAATGTTCCCAAGGACAGGTTGAAGAATTAGGGTAGTGTTGATCCCTCCATGGGATTTTTACTCAATAATTTCCATCTGTCTAACTTCCCTGGAAACTGAGTGCCTGTGCTGGCTGGATACAGGCACACAATGAAAGAAAATACATCACACTGAAAAGAGAAAAGCATCTGCTTCAGAGGGAAGAAGTAAAGGGGGGAACAGTGAAGATGAAAAGGGAGCTGTGCTGTCTCATCACTCCCAGTACTGCAGCACTCATGAGCCT